GTCATTGAGCAACGTTATGGCAAATTGGGTGTGGCTTACGTGCAATGACTCTTAGATAACAATCAACGAAAAGGTAAGTGCTGAAGTTTTGTCGATTCTTTTCTAACTACGTTAAGAATTACTCAATTCCTAGTAAGAAAGAAATTGTTGCATGTGAACCGAATGATACTTTCGTCGACAGAACATTTTGTCGAAAACACTTTATCGACACGACACGTCGTGAACAAATCAATTTATCCTTAATTAGAAGAAGTATAGATAATTTTAACATAATTTGAGGTGACGTTTAAGGATGAGTATAAGTAATAATCAAACGGGCATTCGCACTCACATCCACCCCGTCAGTGTATCACGGCCTTCACGCTCCACGACTGATGAAAAAGGAGGGGTCTCGATAAGCGATGAAATCGGTCCCTTTGAAAATTTTGCTATGGTATCCCTGATCACATAATTTTTAAACCCAGCTGAATTTTCATGGGGGCCGATTTCATCGCTTATCGGGATCCCTTCGTTACTACTTATAAGTAACTAGCGGAGGTGCCTGATGCTGGCTCAGAATCTTACAGACCGAAAACTTCATATGTCAGAAACCGACAAGAAATGCAGAGAGGGTTGTGTTTGAAATTTTTCATATATCACCACAACACATCCCGTCTTACATATCTGAAATAGAGCAACTCAGGCTCTGGAGCACTCCAAATCTATCCGGGTTTATACAGGACCCGTTGCAAAATCCTTCCTTTTGCATACAGTTCACGCTGCAAAACATTTTCGGACAGATCCCACTTAAAAATCTATCCGTCTTCTTGCAAATCTCGTTCCAACTCTATATACGCGTCATTTCGGACTTAAAAAAGCTTAGATTTTTTATAACCATTTCTATTTCTGTTTTGACACAGCTCAAAAGACGACTTTTACGCCGTAAATTACACATTATCAATGGACGACAGCGTATCTAAGAAGCAAGAAGCGCAGACAACTGGTACCCTCCATTTATCAATCCCATATGCATTAACTAGCGATTCTATAGTACTGCCGAAGATAAAAAGGGAATCTTCGGAGAAGTTTTTATTTATCTGGTGCGATCCTGATATCAATCGAAGCAAGGAATTGAAAACAGCCATACGAAGTTTAGAACAAAGCATACCATGTGCTCTCTCAACCAACGATTTTGATGAATGTGAACAATGGTTAATTTCATACCATGGCCCTAAAAGAATTTCTCTCATTATCTCCAACAAATTTGGCAAGCAGATTGTGCCCAATATTCATGATTTACCATGGATAAGTGCTATTTATGTGTATTGTAAAGATCGCAAAATTCACACCAAGTGGACTGCTTGCTATCCGAAAGTGCGCGGCGTCATGTCTGATGCAAATAATCTAATACAAAAGCTGTCGATGGATTTGATAAAATATAAACATTTTAAGAACTTAAATCAGCAGGATCTGCTTGGAAAACTATCCTTTTGCCGCAGTGAATCATCTCATAAAAAAGACATAGAGACCACGAGAAAAGAAAGTCTAGAAGGTATGTATATATATATATATATGTTACATAAATCATGCAGATATTACTATTTTTTTTAAGATGGTCTAAGCGAATCTCAGTTTGTCGTTATCGATATAAGAAAACGCTTGGATGCACCTGCTTCTGCTATGTTGCAATCTTTGAATGCGCTGACAGGAAACAGAATATTCATTATTGACGATATTTCAACTGTTAATTTTGATGAGCTCGATAAGAAAACTACATTTCTTTTTGTTAGTAGCGAGTTTGATGTTACAATGGAAAGCGAACCAGAACATATCGAAGCAGTTTTTGTCCTGGAAGATGACATCAGTAAAGTCGATTATCAGCACCGATTCGATAATGGCGACGATCTCATCTATCAATTAGCTGACGAAATATATCGATGTTATCAACAAGAAGCCGAACAATATTCGATTTTGGGTGACGTAAAAACAGCAGAAATTAAAAGAAAAGTATCTAATAAAATTCATGAAGAGTTGGACAAAGCATACAACTCAGCACTTAAGCGTGATAGCACCATTACAAAATCCATTGATGCATAACAAGACTTGTCTAACTCAAATAACAAATGACTAACACTGAAATAAAAAAAATTCTGAATCTTTTTTTTATTTTTTACCTCTCAGTATCATTATACTAAATAAAGATCTACAGAAATAATATTTTTGATCCTGGTAAATTATATTTAACCTTGATTTCGATACTTTTTGAGCTTTGTATTGTTGTTTATAAATATTGATATATTTAAATCTATATGTTGTTCTGTTTTGCAAATATGAATAAGTTTTTACTTCTCCTTTGTTTCAGATGCAAACTATCGACGATATTAGATTCGAACCCAACATATATCCAGATGCGAGCTATTGGACTCTTCTACTTTATCAGCAACAGGGCGTTGCTGCAGTCACCCCATTAGCTGATGCTGATCTAATGTCTTTCATTCACGTTTTTAGTGACATAGTACAGTGCAGAAATCATATCGATACACACCTTCAGAAAATGGTCACACTATTTGCGTATTATAGAAATATACAGCACTGGTTTCCATTGATTAGGAGGATGCCATATAATCTCCAGGAAATAAAAGTTCTCTGCCATTCTACTGAACTAGCAGATTGCACTCGGTGGTTAAATCGTTTTCTACATAGAAACACGCGCCCTCGTCTTGAAATAATTACGTTTGAAGAACTCAATCATAGATTATTGCTATTTGGTGCCGATCATTTGAGAAAGCTGCACTCAGATTTCCAGCCCGGTTCACATCAATTAGCAAGAACACGTCAGGGATACAAAAGAATTTGTCAGGTATTATCAAATTATTTTTGGCATGAAGCTAATAATTGAAATGCTGAAATAACACCAAAATAGACAAGTTTAGAAGTAGAAGTTTAGCTATCTGCTATTTTTATGCGGGTGTAGAAACAATTATTCGTCATCAGGGAAAAATAAATATGAATAAAATAATAATGATTGTTTAATATTGAAGGGTTGTGGATATGGGTTTGCGTGTAGGTGTGGAGTGAGTAAGATACATCCACATCTATCAAGTTCATCACCGATGACGCATATATGTGTCACCCACTTTCAAATTTTGCATAATTGCAATGGTTACTATTCTATTGTATAACGTTGTTTGTGTTTATTTCATTATTACTAATGGATTCTATCAATTTACTAAGAATGCTTTGAACCAACAAATCGAAGACGTCACAATTACTATGCGCACGTTCTTCTTTTCTTCGCCATCGGTGACGTTAACGTTGTTTGAATCAACGAAAAACATTGATACGTCATTGCTGGCAATTCTTACAAGCCATGCTACTATGACGATCAAACTAATTCATGATGCCTCTACTTATAAATGTGAAAAGAAATAATGAAAAAGGTATAATTTTTCTCAATATTTGACACCGTTATTGATATCAAAGTGGAGACGGTAGGAAAATTATATCTCAGAGCTCCTCAAATCATTTTCCATGATAATATATTGTCGAAGATACTTTTGTTTAGAGATATTTGATAATCTGCAAAAAACTCTATGCTATCTTAGTGAACTAGCGTTGTGCAGCAGAACTGCTATATATTGCCTTTTGTACAGTTTGAAGAAGAAAATTATAGTTCGCTATCGTTTCCAAATGAATCTTGCAAAGAGCAACCTGATATGTCTGAAAATCTGATTGTGTATAAAAATAGTCGACAAAAATTCGAACCTTTCTTAGTACACATCAAAACTGTGCGATATGTTACGACATTGAAGCACATATATATTGTTTGTTGTTCTTTGTTGACGTATCGTATTTCATTACTTTTTTTTCCTATTCTTATTATTTTAACAAGTCGTTTGTGCATTGTAACTATCTCTCTTTGTATGATCAATAACATTTTACGAAGCTATTATATCGAATAATGCAAAGCACATATATCAATAGCCAAATTATTTTATTAACAAAAACACTAGTTTTATTCCAGTAAAGTCCTAAATAAATAAACTATATGGTGATAATGTTCTTCTTCTAGATTTTTTTATTCTCAGAAGACAAAAGGAACTGTAAGTATACACGCCATTCTAATTTTAATTATGACTTCGGATTGCAAATTTTCAAAATTGGTGAGAGCTTAATATAAAGACGTAATCATTCGTCTTAAATATTATTGCCAATATATTTTTGTATAAAGAGTATTTTTAGGCCTATATCCACGAAATAATAAAGATATCCAGCTGCCTTTTGTGAATGACATATGATTCAATATCAAGAAATGTTTCTTTCATTCATCACTATAAAGTCAATATGTAGAACACAAGCGATATTTGAAAATTGTATATTTGTGCTACAGTCCTTATCATTGAATAAAATATAAGTTCGACTTTTTGACGATCAACAAGTTACAATTAACTGCGTATATATCTACACCGTTTTGTTATATTACAGATATAAATAGTTATCGTAAAACGGAAGACAAAAAGCACTTTTTTACGTATACGTTATTTTACTATGTGGATTATTGACACAAGTGTATTTTTATATAACATAGAAATATAAAGCGTACTACTATAAATTTACTTCTATTTTATGATAAGAAAACAGATGTGCATCCGTAAACGGCAAAAAAAGAACTGTATCTTGATTTTCTTTTCTCTGTATGAAATATTTTATTGTCTAAATCAACGTTTTAAAAAATTGATTGAATATTAAACAAAAATGCAGATTAATTTTCATTCCATTCCATTGAGAAATTTTTTAGCATTTTTTTTTCAAATAAATCAATATACAAAAACAGATCAGAACTATCTTCTGTCAATTATAGTCAATAACAAATCTAGATTTAGTTTGATATTAGAAGACGTTTTATTTAAAGATACATTCTTACATTATTGAAATTATTATCATTATCAACATCTTCGCCCTCAAGATGATTCATTCATTGAAATTTAATATTCGATACACCTGACAATATTCTAATACTGTTTAGAAAGTGAAAATTTTGAATGGATGGTTGACAATGTTTAATGCGTCATTTTTTCCAAGTTACTCAACAAATAAGATTTCCGCTCTCTCGATTTGGGGAATCATTTCTGCTCGTATTTCCGTCGTTTTATTTTATTGTGAAACGCAATTCTGTATACTTATCCATTTATCATGCCATTTTTTTTCTGTTGTATCCGTTTTTTAACCTTCATTTTTACACATTGTTTTTCCGTTTGTATCACAACTTCCTGCTTTAAGTTTTGTTTCTTTTTGTTAAAAGTCATAGCATTTTCTGCCTATGTACACACCCACAGCTACACCTGCCTACTGGATGAATACTTTGTGATGATAAGAACAGAAGAGAAATATAATGAGAAATGGCATCTGTTGTCAGATCTATACATTTATGAGCATGATATATATATAGTGTAGATAAAAGAGAAAAATATAGATATATAGGTCATTCATTCATGATATTTTTACCATTGTGTTACACATTTATTTCTAGATTAAATGATGAAGTCTCGGAGAAAAAGTCCTTATTTTGTCATTTAATAATAATCGAGATTTGATTAGAAAGATTTCTTAGTTATTTCAACGGGTATGTTCACTCGTTCTAATAGCAGTATCAATTCGATTTTATTATTTATCATCTTTAATTTTGTAATGGCTTGACTCTCCATACATTGTGTAAAAGAAAACTATATGATACGGTAAGTTTATATTTATTATCTTTTTCGTAATAAAGATTAACATATAATTATGAAAGTAGACAATCGAACTATATCATTACAATTAGAATTCGTGCTCGAAAATGATGTCTGAAGCATAAGTTAGTTTATAGACAAAAATCATTTTTACTCAGATAATTTTCTGTTTAGAAATTCTATGATATCCGTTCTCTTCACATATCACGGGTGGCGGTGCGATTGAAGAGAAGACAGCCACCCACCTAAGCACACACTCTCAAGTTTATATCTTGAATTCTGTGTGCAATGGCAGCCAATTTGATAAATCGTTTATGGCAATCATTTCTTCAATTAAATCTTTTCAAAAAGTCATCGAGTACTGATCAAACTCTTTCAAAAGAACTACTTTCTACTCGTATATATGTCTGTTTATTACTTGTATCTTTAATTGCAGTTGCAATAATTACTTCATTTATGATTCGAACTATTGAGAAAACTGAAGATACACCTTCTCGTACACGATTTTTACAATTAACGAATAGCTATTCAAATACTTTGTATTGTCCATGTTCAAACCATGCTATTACATACAGTACATTTGTTACAACTGAAGTTGATTTTCATCAAGTTTGTTCAAGTGAATTTATTGAACAAATATGGATTGATAAGTTATTTACAAATGAAAATATTTCATTTGAATCTACAGAAGATTTTCGTGTTACTTTGAGTTTCTTTTGGCAAATCATTGCAGGTTTATGTATTGCAAGTCGAAGAAGTTGGGATGATGCTGTAGCAAATTTTAATACATCACGTATTCTTACTCCAGCAGTATCTGTCGAAGAAACTATTCGAAGTCAAGTTCAAACAACATTTAGTAGTCAAATCAATTTGACTCAAACAGCACTGGCTCATACTTTACTTGCTATTCGTCTTATGACTAGTGGAGATCAAAGTGTATCAGCTTTACAAACAAATTTTCATTTACGTATTTTATCATCTGGTTTTATTCGAATGACTCCTCGATTGTTCAATGATTGTTCCTGTTTGAACATTGAAGGTTGTCCACGTCCTGCTACATTTAACGATAGCTATGGACATTTAATCACTATACCAGGAATGATAATGGATTGTTTGATGCTTGATGCTACACTCGCTTCAACACTTGAATGCTATTATAATCAAACATGTCTTTCTCTCTTACATCAATCATTATCTACAGATATAAAGCCATTATTAAATAATTCACTTGAACATTTTTCTTCAAATTCAACAGTAGAAACACTTTTAAATGAATTAATGATTGATAAAATGATAATTAATACTGATTTTGATTTATATTATTCAGAATGTAATCCCCCATATTGTTCATATTCATATACACGTCGTTTTAATATTGCTTTTATTATTACTACAATTATGGGTACATTTAGTGGTTTATCATTTGGCATAAAATTGCTTGCACCTTTCATTGCCAAAATAATACTACGTCGAAAAAATCGTGTTGTACCAGTTGAAAATGTAGCACAGATACAGGTATCATGGCAGCATCGATGTAAGTTAGAATTCATTTTCTCTCATTTTCATAACTAAATGAAAGTGGCTATATGTCCACCACACCTTCAAATGATAGAGTACATGGTCACAAGTTTAAATTTTTGGACAAAATACATAAAGTACTGGCAGTATGCGTATGATGGACGGAATGTTGTGAATAAGATATTGTACGAATTGTATTTGTATGTGTGCATGTCTATATACTAAGATTGAAATAAGTTTTTTTTTCACAAAGCAAGTGTCTACCTACATCAGATAATGATGATTTTTTATTCAACTCGGCTACATCGATATTGCGAACATCTATTCTGTCCTTGGACGCGCTAGATTCGAGAATCTCATTACTAAAATAGTGATACACATCATAATTATGATTAAATAAATATCTTGAGGGTGAAAGGAATGTTTATACATTTTCAATTGATTTAAATTTTTATTTTTAGTTCATACAATACGGGGTCGCATTCGACTTGTACCACAGTCTATTAAAGAAAAAGCCGTTTCTTTGAATCTTTTTGAAAGTTCCAAACCGCGTACTCCTACTAATATTTATCGTGAACGACTTTTAACACGATTCTTTATTGTTCTCATCACTATTTCTTCTATTGGTGTTGGATTCTACGTATTTCTCATTAAACAAAATCAATTAGTAACAATTCCTCATCCATCTATTACTATCTATGAACAATTATATAATGACCATTCAACTACATTACAATGTCCTTGTTCACGAATATCTATTCCATATGAAGCGTTTCTTAATGTCACATTTAGTTTACATCAAGTATGTTCAAGTGATCTAATTTCACCAGCATGGTCACACTATCTGACATTATTGAATCCAACACTTGTACCAGAATGGTCAAATGACTTTATGCCTACCCGTGACTTTCGGATAATGGGTGCATCTTATTTTCAACTTTTAGCTGCTTTGTGTTCAATGGCTGATATTAGTATTGCCGATGCACAACGAGTATTCAATAATACTAAATTCATAAATGATCGTGTTCTTGCTCCATCAATTTTTCGTCAGAAAACCCGAGCGATAATAGATTCATTTATTAACACAACACGCAACAACTTTGTGCGTACATTTGAATGGATTTATGTTACACTTATTGCTAGTCAGTTTTTTAATGGAGGAAACATTAATTTTGATATTACTTTAATCACTGATGATCAACTTTCTATTAAATCCACTAATTATCAAATGTTTTCCACTTTTACAGAGACAGGTATTACTGCTTCGACGTTGTGTACATGTTCAATGGGCTACGACGAGTGCTTTATTATACCTCTATTATATATAAATGCATCATATTTTGATGAATTTCCAATAACTTCTTTTTTTCAAATGGTACATATCGGTTGTACACCTTTACTTGGATTTCTAAATTCGAAGATTGGATGGTGGTATAACATTACATATCTAGAATACATTAAAGAAACTTATTCAATCGTTATTAAGTCTCAGCCACCGCCAGATATAAAATCTCTCAATGCATCAATATTTACTCGATTTGGGGACGTAACAACGCAAGATTTGGTTCGTGAAATGTTGTTAGAAACAATAATAAGTAATAATACACATTTTGATCAATTCTATAATGAATGTTTACCTCTATCTTGCACATACACAAATAAACAACGTCGCAGAATTCTAGCATCATTACTTCTTCTTATTGCTTTATGTAGTGGTCTAAACAAAATTTCTCGAATACTTATACCATTGTTTGGTAAAATTATTTTCTCTTGTATTGATTGGTGGAAAAGACGTCATACTCGACGAGGTAAGTATATCGTAGATCTTCTAAAAGATTTCTACGTCATAGAATCAACATAAATAATCAGAATAGATTTATATATATGAAAATTGTTTTTTCTACTATCAGTTTTGTACTTATTTGATGTTTTATGTCTTTGTTTTTCTAGTCATTTCAATAAGTGATTATCTCAAGCATCTTTTAATCACTACTTATCAATCAATTAAAACTCTCAACTTATTTAAGACTGAAACAATAGAAGAGATATTAATTCGTCAACAACAAATATATACTCGAATCTATTTAGTTCTTTATATAAGTTCTCTCAGCATAATACTCTTCTATACAGCTCTTATTAATCGTAATATCGATAAACGATATTACTTATCTTCGATTATGGATTATGAAGAATTTCTCATAGATCATCCTTCAGATGATATTACTTGTCCTTGCACACATATATCAATTCCTTATGGTAACTTCATCAATGAATTACAAGTCGATGCATTTCATGAAGCATGTACAGTAAATGCAATTTTTGAAATTTTGACAGATGGTAATATGATTTAAAAGAATTATTTTCATATAAACTATTAGAAAATATCAGGAATTTATCGATTGATATAGAATAGAACATTGAATTGAAAAGAAAACTTCATTTACAGCATAGTACATGTTATTCTTTTCTATTTAATCGTTCTGATTGAGTAGTACAAGATTTAATATAATAAGTAGAGAGAACACAAGAAAAGTAGTTAAAATATCGTTTTCATAGAATGAACTATTTTGACAAATCGAAGTTTAAGTAGAATATATAAAAAATATTTTATAAAAATTTATAAACATTTGACAAATTTGTTATATATCTGTATAGGACTGCCGGGTTTAGATGAGTTCAACCTCTCATATGGGAATGATTTTAAAGTATGGAAGTTCTTCTTTATCGATTCTTTACGATTACTTTGTTTATTGGCACAAGAAAGTGTTGAAAACAGTATTAATGTTTTTCTCTCTTCGACTATGCTAATCAATCAATTAGAGTCTCGTGAACGATTCGAGAACGAAATAAATGATACTATTAATCAATTTCAAAAAAGAATACCAATCAGTTTTGCTCAAACATTAGATCTTCTTCGTATGACTGCACAAGGAAATGCTTTATTAGCAATGTTTTCATCGAATTGGAATCTAATCAGAGCTGGAATAGACGCAGAAAGAAATACTTCATTTGTTACTATACCTATCATTCATAACAATACAGAACAAAATACAAGTTGTTCTTGTGCTACTTTACAAACTTGCACAATGCCAGTAAATTTATCTAATTCTAATGAAACGATGATCATTGATGGCATGGTATTTGGCTGCAATTTATTGGAGACAGTATTGCTTTCATCATTATCTTGTTTGTATTCTGAAACTTGTTTTATTAATCTTCGAAATTTACTAGGTGCAGGTCCTCGTCCTGTCAAACACTTGAACGATTCATTAACACGATTTAGCGTCAATGATACAATCGAGACAATGGCATATCAAATGTTTATCGAATCATGGACAAACAATGTATCTTATGAAAATTTTTACGAAAGTTGTTCTCCAAATTATTGTGTCTATACATACCGTTCTCGATTCGATGTACGTGAAATGTTAACTACATTTTTGAGTGTATTTGCTGGTTTGTCTTTCGGAATTCGATTCATTGTTCTTTATCTTGTGAAAATATTTCAAAAGATCAAACGTCGATTTCGTATCGTACCGACGCAATAATGATATTTATCAAATTTTCTTTGTACTATTTCAACAAAAACATATCGTTCATTTATTAATTTAAAAGCTTTTATTGTTTGTTTTTCAAAATCAAAAGTATTCTCATTTCTATTTAATTATCACGCTTAAATTTGTGACATCTATATATATTGCTTTTGCTAGTGATAAATTCACTTTTAATCACAAATATCTATGCTTTAATTTACTTACATTAATAAAAAATTTGGATGTTGTCAAAAAATTCGGAGAAGGAAAAATTCAGGATGGGTGTGGGTGTGGATGTGAGTGTCGCTTCTTTATTTATCTAACACTCACACTAGAAGTAAGAGTAGAAATCATTACGCTTAGTCAAATGATTTGCATAAGTGATTTAGATGTCATGAAAAACATACAACATATACTTCAATATAAAGTCAACTAATATACACTTGATTTCATTTATCCAGAAGCACAAGCATTACAACCAGATACACCATAAAAAGCAGCATAATAACAAAAATAATCATACTGACGAACAGTACCAGCAACAGAACCACCGATATTAGTAGCATAATAACAAGAACTACCCGTAGCACCACAAATACCAGCATAACAGCAAGTACTATTAACAACATAACAGTTGCTACAACTACAAGGAGGAACAGAAGTAGTTGTAGTAGTAGTTGTCGTTGTTGTCGCTGTTGTAGTCGTCACTGTAGTTAATGTTACTGTCGTCGTTGTCGTTGTGGTTTTTGTATTCAATGTCATAAGTACGGCAGCAATGCCCGTACCAAGAAGAAGAAGAACAAGTAACGACAAAAATAAACAGACAAGTGTATGTCGATGACAAATACGATTACAATAGCTAAGTAAAAGATATTCAAGTACAAGAGACAACAAGTGTAAGAAAGCAACTTACTATTTCTTTTGATTCCTATTCAACTTTTGATGATGTTCATCTTTAAAAGTCATTCGATTTGGCCGTGCACCAGTTGGTTGCGTTGTAGATGGAACGAGCTCAGTTTTTTTATTCGCGGAAGGCTAAAAAATAAGGAAGTTTAAGTGTCATCCTGAAAAAGTTTCGTGCCCTTCATTGTTCAATTAGGTAGAGTTCTACCAGTTCAGCAAAATTCTTCAAGAGTTTTACTCAACTAACTAAGTTAAATTGCAATTTTTTGCTTACCTTATAATCATTCGTAGCGTTAACTTGTAGTGATGAAATTTTTAGATGGATGATAGGAATAGGTTGAATGTCTGATTTCGACGGATGACAACGCTAAAGAAAAAAAGGAGTTGAGAGAATTTTGTGAATTATTTACGTTCCGAAAAATAATTAATGAAAGAGCTCATCAAATCAGTGACTAAGGTAAAATAAACAACGAGTTTATAAAGAAACTTTTGAAAAGAGCATTTCCTTTGGTATATGTCAACTTTCAAATTTGATACTAGTGCGTACCTGATGTTGCGTTCTAAATGAAATTGTTCTTGAAACACGAACCACTTGAATAGATCGAGACATATCGATATTTTTTAGATGAGTAGTTGCATGTCTCTGCTCAAGCTATATAAAGAAACCCTGCCAACATCGGAGAACAGGGGGTGCTGATTGTATCTCAATTTCTCACATCGTATCGAGTGTTTGTAAAGTGTAGGGTATCTGTTTTACTATTCAATAAAATCGAATCTTATTACATGTCATAGTGAAAATGATCCAAAAGAAAAGCATTGCAAGTGGAAGAGAAAAACATGCTTCATTCAATATTCTTGTATTGGGTTATTTCAATAAAATTTGTTCCATCACAGAAAGTGAAACCTTACTATACCTTGTCCTCATTTTTTTACGGTTGAAGATTATTTGTTAGAGTGTCCATTATTCATTTACACCCACACACTCAAAATGAAAAGCGTCATTTGAGATAAGAAATTTGCTCTTGGTGATTGTTGTTGTATGTTTTTCTTATCTAATGACACACAACAAAAAAGTGACATCATACATGTTACTATTAATTCAATGTAAAATGAGATGATTACTGTATTTTCGTTCGGTTTTACTATCGAGGAATAATGATCAATAATTTTGCAAATCCGAAATCTATTTCTGTACCATCAGTTCACAGTAAAGATCATATAGTCTATTTTGAATATAATTGTAGTTTGAATCTTTTAGCTGGATGTTGCAAAACAGAATTTGATTCAACTTATCAAAATGATTTGAATGGTGTGATTAGTCAAAATGAATTTCAAGAATCCATTAATAAAATCAATCGTCGAATATCTTCAACTAAATTCATCGTCATGTTTGTTCTTGTCTTTGGTTTCTGTATTATTGGTACAATAGTATCCTTTATCGTTGGTTTAATCACATCAGGTGACTTTATATTCATTGGTGTAGCAATTGCTTTATTTCTTTTTGGACTTACCTTTATCTTTGTTGGATGTTTTATCGTACAGCGTCGAAGTGCCGAACGAATACGAAAAGCGATTGCTCAAGAATCAAGAAAATATTCAACACGATCGCCAATATTATGTCGTTGGCGATTGAAAACGACGACTGAATATGATGAAGAATATGGAAATCAGCACAGCCATCAGGTAACTTACTCTGCTAAAACTATTATCTATAGAGAATTTTTTTCAGTTAGTCATTGATGTCAGTCGCTCAATTAATTCAGAACTAATTACTACTGAATCACCATCATGGATTGTTGGACATCATGATAACAATGCACCTCCACCTTATTCAAGTTTATCGATGGGATTTTGTTCATAATGTGGTATAACACGATCAAGTCATTCTAGTAACTTTTGTTCGTCATGTGGACATTCATTTGTAAATGTTAAAGTATCTAATTAGTTTTTTTTATTTTTATACGCAAATGTTAATTCATAAGCAGTGAGTGTTTCTGATAGCAGTGACAAGAATTTTTTGATATATTGAAATGTCTGTTTCTGTCATAGCATGGATCAGACATTCTTTTTATTTACAACACAATAATTATAATACATATATGATTAAATATATAATAAAAAAAAATAAAGTTACAGTTAAGTTTTCAATAGTTGAGTTAATGGTGTTTATCTTGATGTTGTGTAACGCCATTTTGTGCTGTGAGAGAAACATCCATGATGCCAATTCGATTATCTCTCACTTGAATAAGTTGTTTTAAATACATTTTGATTGACTTACGAAAACGTGGTGAAGAAAGAAAAAATATATAGAATGATGATGCAAAATTTATACCTATAATAAATGTTGTTATTTGATTAATTAGATATTCAAGTACAACTTGATCATAACTTCGCATTGCACGTGTATTAAGAGTAGCCACCGTATAAAGAAAAACGACAAGCTGAGGTAAGATACATATAATACTTATACAAGTTTGTGCAATCATCATTCTTGTCATTTGTTGTTCCCATTGTGATAAACGATTTCGAGCTTGATTTTGTTGAATATGCATATGCTTGATAAGACGAATATTTCGATGTGTAAGAATACCAAATATAACCAAAATAATAAGTGGAAGCAAAGCAACCATAAAAGGTGTAAGAAAATAGGTAGCTATCTGTTGGAAAAGATCATTAGTAAACCAACAACTAAACAGCTGAGGAACATAATCAACAAAAATAAGATAAGGTGCATTAACGCATGACCAAAAAAGAAAAGGCATTGGAAAAAGACAACGAGCAATATTTTTTGAGCTTAATTGTCGTATTCGAGCTGATCTGGATGTACATGCCCATCGATCAAATGCAGCTAAACATAAAAAACTCATTGCGCATGGTACTGTGACTTCAGTAAAGAAGACCATTAATCTACATGAAGTCCCAGAAGACATTAATGGTAATGATGGAAAAATTTGGAGAAAAAGAATTAATAAAGCGACAATGTCGAATAATGATTGACCGACAACATAATAAGAACTTGGAGATTGACGAAATGTTTTAATTCCAATAAAAAGAATTCCATTAATTAACGCTCCTGGAATTCCCAATGCAAATAGAGTAACTGGTCCCCAAAAAGATAATTTCGTAGCTATATCAAGCATAGACATCTTTGACTTTCTTGGTTTTTTGTTAATAAAATAAAATAAATATTATCCAACAACTGACGTCTTCTCTTTACTTTTCTTTTCAAAAAAGTACTTTAATCAAAATCTCATCTATTTTCTCTTTTTTCTATGACAGCCTGAAAAAGAATATATTAATATACCTAGTAAGCCAACGGCATTATGTCAAAAACAGAATATTTAGAAAACTAATTTCCGTAAATAATTTTCATCATAAACAGATTTACTTGTCATTATCAGATATACTTATTCTGTCAAGAAAAAAATGATTTATATTTATATAATAAAAACATATGACCTTTTCTATTTTCCTTCCAGGTCGTAAATGATATAATCATAAAATTATTTTACTTTTTAAATGTCAACAATTTCTAATGAATTCAATGTTCTACTTTTACAAAAATAAAAGTAATATCAAAAATCTGAATTTTATATAAAAATTATTTTTCATTATTTGAGTTCATTATATAAATATTTATTAAATCTTCTTGTCCCTCATCAGACAGATTAAGACTTTATTAGAGTCAATCAATTTGATAATTATTTTTCTTTATCTTTATTTATAGAGTAATAAGATAAAGTGACACTTCTATTACTGATAAGATATTTCTCATTTTGTCTAGAAATGATTAAAATACGAATAATAACATGGGGATGTAGCTCATATGGTAGAGCGCTCGCTTAGCATGCGAGAGGTATTGGGATCGATGCCCAACTTCTCCAATTCTGTTTTTTTTTACACTTTAGATAATCGAAATACTGTTTTATATTTCAACTTCTATCCATAGTATATATATTTTATACTGGTATAAGCCATGATTGATTGTGGTTGGGTGTAGACGTAGGATTCTTTTTCGTCACAGTTACATCTACATCCTTACAATTTGTTGTATAGTCTTTGAAAGTATATTTTCTTCTTACAAGAAGTTTATTATCAAAAAATAAAAATTTTATGTCAAAAGCAGATATGCATATAGTATGTGTCAGTTAGAAAGAAGTGGAAATAGACACAAGTAGATCAATTTTAACTTTAATATAGACTACTTATTGCAACTATGTCATACGATTGACGGAGTACAACTGTAAAAATATAATAATTATTTTCAATTCAATTGTATTTTGTTGAAGATAAATATCGATTACTCTGTAAATTATCATTATATATTAGTAGTGTAAAGTTTGTTTTTAATTGTCAATAAAATATAAAAATTTATTTCGAATCAAAAGAAATATCTGCATTGATTATGTTTACAATACAGAGAATAATTTTAATTGCGATGAATGTATTCAGTTTCAATATTATCAAAATAATTCTAGTATGCTGAAGGATAAAGGATGATCCTATAATCTCATGAAAAGTATCTAAACTGCGTATATATGTTATTTTTACTTCGTGTCGACAAAAGAAAAAATTAGAATCCAATAAATACAATTTGTAAAAAACTTTAGTTTTATTTTAAAATGATATTTCTGTCAAACGCAAATGAATACAAACAAAATATGTTTTAGTCAATATACGAGTGAGTGACTTTGTTCGAAACTTTTACCAAGGTATTTTATTATTTTCTGGATCAAAGAATACTCCGGATGGACCGTCGTCTGGTAGTGTTGCAACATAGACAATAACTCGAGCAGCTTGAGTTGGTGGTGGATAGCCTTCCTTGTTGTTAGTCATGTATGTCTTTGCCGGTCCTAAAATATGACTTAGATAAAAAGAAAGATTTTTAGAAGGCTTCATTAATACCGACCAGGATTTACACTATTGATTTTGATATTCCAATTTTCAGTACGAAATTCCATATCGAATTGAACAGTCATCATATTGACAGCTGTTTTCGATGTTGAGTAAGCTAATCGATTACGATCTGGAAGTGGTTTTCCAAAAGATCCCATTTGACTTGATACATTTACAATACGTCTTTATTTTGATTTTTGCAACAATGGAATACATGCTTAACGCACTTCTACACAATTATATATTATGAAAACATATTACAGACTGAGCATATGCCTCTATATCGTTAAAAAATATCATTCTATTTATCATCGTTGACAAACTTTAAAAAATTTACAAAAAAATAAGTTAAACAGTAACTTTCTGCACTAATATCATAAGACATATTTCAATCATCCATAGGATAGTAGAATAAAGCATGTTTTGACTAGATATGTGACAACGAGGGTGTGAGTATGAGTGTGAGTATCTCTCTTTAGCTGCCCACAATCACACTCACATCCTTTTGTATTTGAATTGATCGATTGAAAAGAAGATTATTTCCGTTATTCACTTAATGATTTTATTTTAAAAAACTAGCTATTCGTGCCTCCATCCTTATCCAGGGAACACAGGAAAATAAGCAGAAGAACAAAGAAGATAATGGAATACATCTTCTTTTATGTCGTGCAAGAAATAAACAAAATGCGGAACAAAATAAGAAAAAGAAAGAATAATACCAATGTTATTAGAGAGTACTCTCTAACAATGATACATTAGATATTGAATGAGTTTATAGAAAAAGAACACAAGTCATAATTTAGCAACAGCAAACCTTGGCGCATGATCTTTTAACAGTGACGGTTTTCTTTCTGATGACTTTGCAACATGGTTTGCAGCAGCACAC